CAATTTCACAATAAAATTTCCAGTTTTTTAACCGTAACTTCAGATTTTCGAACATAAACCACTCTGGAGATTTTCTTAAACGATGCGCCAATGTCTCCTCTAAAACACCTATATAGTCGTTGCCCGTCACAATCTCTTTAAAATGGTCCAATTTTTTCTTTTAGTGCCCTACCTTCCTAATCTCATTTTGTCAATTTCACAATTTCAGTTTTTTAACCGTAACTTCAGATTTTCGAACATAAACCACTCTGTAGATTTTCCTAAACGATGCACCAATGTCTCCTCTACAACACCTATATAGTCGTTGTCCGTTGCAATCTCAAATGGACCAAAATTTTCTTTTAGTGCCCTACCCCCCTAATCTCATTTTGTCAATTTCACAATAAAATTTTCAATTATTTAACCGTAACTTCAGATTTTCGAACTAAAACCACTCTGGAGATTTTCCTAAACGATGCGCCAATTTCTCCTCTACAACACCTATATAGTCGTTGTCCGTCACAATCTCTTTAAAATGGTCCAAATTTTCTTTTAGTGCCCTACCCCCTATCTCATTTTGTCAATTACACAATAAAATTTTCAGTTTTTTAACCGTAACTTCAGATTTTCGAACATAAACCACTCTGGAGATTTTTTTAAACGATGTGCCTTTGTGTCCTCTACAACACGTATATAGTCGTTGCCCGTCACAATCTCTTGAAATTGGTCCAAAAATTAACTTAAATTGCCCAACCCCCCTAATCTCATTTTGTCAATTTAACAATTTCAGTTTTTTAACCGTAACTTCAGATTTTCGAACATAAACCACTCTGGAGATTTTTCTTAGCGATGCGCCAATGACTCCTCTACAACACCTATATAGTCGTTGTCCGTCACAATCTCTTTAAAATGGTCCAAAATTTTCTTTTAGTGCCCTACCCCCCTAATCTCATTTTGTCAATTTCACAATAAAATTTTCAACTATTTAACTGTAACTTCAGATTTTCGAACATAAACCACTCTGGAGATTTTCCTAAACGATGCGTAAATGTCTCCTCTACAACACCTATATAGTCGTTGTCCGTCACAATCTCTTTAAAATGGTCCAAAATTTTCTTTTAGTGTCCTACCCCCTATCTCATTTTGTCAATTACACAATAAAATTTTCAGTTTAATAACCGTAACTTCAGATTTTCGAACATAAACCACTCTGGATATTTTCTTAAACGATTTGCCTTTGTCTCCTCTACAACATCTATATAGACGTTGCCCGTCACAATCTCTTGAAATTGGTCCAAAAATTAACTTAAATTGCCCAACCCCCCTAATCTCATTTTGTCAATTTCACAAATTCAGTTTTTTAACCGTAACTTCAGATTTTCGAACATAAACCACTCTGGAGATTTTCTTAAACGATGCGCCAATGTCTCCTCTACAACACCTATATAGTCGTTGCCCGTCACAATCTCTTCAAAATGGTCCAAATGTTTCTTTTAGTGCCCTACCCCCCTAATCTCATTTTGTCAATTTCACAATAAAATTTTCAGTTTTTTAACCATAACTTCAGATTTTCGAACATAAACCACTCTTGAGATTTTCTTAAACGATGTGCCTTTGTCTCCTCTACAACACCTATATAGTCGTTGCACGTCACAATATCTTGAAATTGGTACAAAAATTAACTTAAATTGCCCAATCCCCTAATCTCATTTTGTCAATTTCACAATTTCAGTTTTTTAACCGTAACTTCAGATTTTCGAACATAAACCACTCTGGAGATTTTCTTAAACGATGCGCAAATGTCTCCTCTACAACACCTATATAGTCGTTGTCCGTCACAATCTCTTGAAAATGGTACAAAATTTTCTTTTAGTGCCCTACCCCACTAATCTAATTTTGTCAATTTCACAATTTCAGTTTTTTAACCGTAACTTCAGATTTTCGAACATAAACCACTCTGGAGATTTTCCTTAGCGATGCGCCAATGTCTCCCCTACAACACCTATATAGTCGTTGTCCGTCACAATCTCTTTTTAAATGGTCCAAAATTTTCTTTTAGTGCCGTACCCCCCTAATCTCATTTTGTCAATTTCACAATAAAATTTTCAACTATTTAACCGTTACTTCAGATTTTCGAACATAAACCACTCTGGAGATTTTCCTAAACGATGCGTAAATGTCTCCTCTACAACACCTATATAGTCGTTGTCCGTCACAATCTCTTTAAAATGGTCCAAAATTTTCTTTTAGTGTCCTACCCCCTATCTCATTTTGTCAATTACACAAAAAAATTTTCAGTTTTATAACCGTAACTTCAGATTTTCGAACATAAACCACTCTGGAGATTTTCTTAAACGATTTGCCTTTGTCTCCTCTACAACATCTATATAGTCGTTGCCCGTCACAATCTCTTGAAATTGGTCCAAAAATTAACTTAAATTGCCCAACCCCCCTTATCTCATTTTGTCAATTTCACAATTTCAGTTTTTTAACCGTAACTTCAGATTTTCGAACATAAACCACTCTAGAGATTTTCTTAAACGATGCGCCAATGTCTCCTCTAAAACACCTATATAGTCGTTGCCCGTCACAATCTCTTTAAAAATGTTCAATTTTTTCTTTTAGTGCCCTACCCCCCTAATCTCATTTTGTCAATTTCACAATTTCAGTTTTTTAACCGTAACTTCAGATTTTCGAACATAAACCACTCTGGAGATTTTCCTAAACGATGCGCCAATGTCTCCTCTACAACACTTATATAGTCGTTGTCCGTCGCAATCTCTTTAAAATGGTACAAATTTTTCTTTTAGTGCCCTACCCCCCTAATCTCATTTTGTCAATTTCACAATTTCAGTTTTTTAATCGTAACTTCAGATTTTCGAACATAAACTACTCTGGAGATTTTCGAACATAAACCACTCTGGAGATTTTCTAACACGATGCACCAATGTCTCCTCTACAACACCAATATAGTCGTTGCCCGTCACAATCTTTATAAATGGGTCAACAATCAACTTAAGGTATCCCCCGTTTTCGTTTTTAATTACAGTTGTTTCAACCTAACTTCAGATTTTTAAACATAAACCATCTTAGAGTTTATCTTAATAGATACGCTAATGACTCAGCTGCATCACCTATGCAGTCGTGTACCGTCATAATCTCTATAAATGGGTCAAAAATCAACTTAATGTATGCCCCCTCCCCACCCCCCACCCCAACCCCCCCCACCCCCCACCCCCCCCCCCCTTCCCCCCCCCCCCCCCCCCTTATCGTTTTTACAATTTCAGCTTTTTAAACTTAACTTCAGATTTTTAAACATAAACCATTCTGGAGTTTGTCTTATTAGATACGATAATGTCTCCTCTATGTTACCTTTACAGTCGTTGCCTGTCACAATCTCTATAATAAATTGGTCAAAATCTTTATGGTATCCCTTTTGTTTTATTTTTTTTTTATTCGTTTTTGTTTAATATTTTGAATATCCTCATAATTGTCCGCTAGGTCTCTGTAATTGTTCGCTAGCTCGAAAAAAACGTGATTGTCTTATGTGAAATTGTGGTTTTTAGTTATACCTCCTAATTGTTCGCTGGCTAATTGTTCGCTACAATTGTTCGCTAGTTTGAGTCAAGTGAAAACATGGTTCAGTTCACAGTTGAAATTGAGCTGTGAGCTAGCTTTCAGTAACTGCGAGTACTCTTATATCGGTTCTTTGTGTCATATTTCTTTGTTAGTTGTTTTTTTGCATGTGTACATGGGTAATGGACTCACCTTCCTTTTCGTTTTCTATTTTTTTTTTATTAAATTTCAGAATTTGTTATATTTTAACTTATATTCACTTAATTAATGTGTTCTTCTTATCAATACGAAATTACAATAACAGTAGTTTATAAATTTTGACATCTATTATTTGTGTAAAACAATAATGTTGGGTTAAAATTTATAAGTTACTGTTTTAGTATAATATAGTATTGATAAGAACAAGATCGCGTTAAATAAGTGAAAATAAGTTAGAATATTACAGAATATTAACTAAAAAAAAAATAAACACAAAAAAAAATATTTAAGAAAAAGGGGGTTCTTTTCCTTGCACCTGTGGTTTTTAATGTTTAGTACCGATCTGTAGAGTCAAGCACTTTCCGAATGATTTTTACAGTGTCTTCTTATGTTGTGATGTTACATCACTGTCCAAGGTTAAGGGAGGGATTCAGCGCTCACAAAATTGATAGACCCCGCCAAATTAGTTATGTCACAAGTTAAGAGCCTGTTGTCCCGTGGTTGCCGTTGGTTGCTGCCTGCCATTTCTTTTTTTCTTTTTATTTAGTTTACCTTAAATCAGGCCGTTTGTTTTTTTTTCTTTTGAGTTATTTAACAATGCATTTGAAGGCCGGTAAGTAATACCTGTTACAGTAGTTGTTTTCATTCTCGTCCTATAGTCTCAGTGGCAATCATGTCTTTGAAATCACATCTCCTTATTTTTATATCATTATACATCTTCTATGATTGAAAACCAAAACCGGTAAAAGAAAGGTAAGCACTGATTTTGAGTATCTTTACGACAAATCGGTAAAAGAAACAATAAGCACGAAGGGAAGTAACTTTACGACCATTCGTAAAAATGGATCGACCACCTCAGTTTGGCGATATGACAGAATACTTTTGCAGTGATGACATTAGTTAAAGTTGAAGACAGGTATAACCCTGACTAAGTAGTTCACTGGACAGTGATTTTATACTCCAAGAGAAAACTCTGTAATGGACACAAACTATTATATAAGTAAATCTCCTGGGAAAAGATTCACAGTATGTAAAATATATATGGACATGTTGCTTCTCAGTACAGGGAAATTAACTATATTGAAACTAAAGAATGTGTTTGATCTAATTATCTATATTGAAACTAAAGAATGTGTTCTAAAGTTCTTAATTAACCGTCTTCCAGCTTCTGTTAAAGTATGTCATACGTCAAGATCGATTATATATATACAATACAATTTTAAATATTTTATTTTTTAAATGAAAAATTATACCAACAAAAAATCAAAATATGAAAACAATATTTCACAACTAATAACGTAACTCTTTCTTCACTTCTAAACTAAGGGAGTCATAACTGCATACGATAAGCCCAAAAAATCGTTTTTACAATAAAGGTTCGAATGAGTTACTGTAGTTTTAAAATGAATTATCATTTCATAAGTTTTGGTATATTTTCCGTTCACTGACAGAAAATTTTTTCTCTCAGACTTAATCCAAAATCATTGCTGAATAAAAAGAAGATTTTATTTTATAGCTGAGTCATGTTGCTGCATGATGTCTTCTTTTGTTTCCGTCGAAATAAACGTTTGAAGAACCCTTTTTGATCTTTCTGTTGTTCAGATGAAGGCTTTTGAGCTCGTGGAAGAGTTTTACTTTCAAGGTCATTTTTCAATTTGAGTTTTATTTGTCTCACAATACCAACTAATAGATCATCGACTTTCAAATTCAAACCTGCTGATGTTTCAATATATTTGCAGGTATACTTTTGTGCAACAGCTCTTCCATCTAAAAAATAAGAAAAAAACACATGTCAAAAAATGTAAGACATAAAGTATGACTGCAGGGAAAACACAGTGCGGTATTTATCTAAACTGTCAAAGGTTATGGTATATAAAACTGAGAATGGAAACGGGGAATGTGTCAAAGAGACAATAACCCGACCAAAGAGCAGAAACAGCCCAAGGCCACCAATGGGTCTTCAACACAGCGAGAATATCCCGCACCCGTAGTCGAGCTTCACCTGGCCCGTAGACAAAAATGTGTACTAGTTCAGCGAAAATGGACGTCTAACATGGTTCAAAATGGAAACCACCTTTTCTTTAAAATTCTTCGTCGAAGATACGTGAATATGTATACGTAAATATGGCTTCTACCATAATATTTCAATTTTCAAGAAGGGTAACCCTAGCATAATAAATGAAGCCAACCCTAATGACGCATAGTCCTGTAACACTTTGTTCTTCCCAGAATATTTTAGTCACTAATGAAAAATCAAAAGGTCTTATGAAGGCACTCAAAATTCATCAAAGGTTTACATTGTGTGAGAGAGTTGCAGCCCTGGTTTTCGTATTACATGATTTACAAGATTTATAAGTCATCCATTGAAAGTTTTATGGAAGTCATCAAGAGTGTGTTGACAGTTATGGAAATCTGTGTCACAGAATAAACGCGGATATTTTCCAAATGTCGTAACCACAATTTCGTCTTTTTTTCCTCAATTGTAAAATCACTGATTTGTTTTACTTAGCGTGCAATAACGCATGTCACTAGTAAAATCAGGATCTGTCTACCCTTACGGAGCACCTGAGATCATCCCGGTTTTTGGTAGGTTTCGTGTTGCTGAGTTTTAGTTTTCTATATTGTGTTTTGTGGAATTTTTGTCTTTTTGTCGTTTTTGAGTTTTGCCGTGGTGTTGTTTGTTTCTCTTCGTTTTATGAGTTTTAAATATTCCATTGGTATCTGCTGTCTCTCTTTTTTTCTATAAACCGACATCATCATTAAAAATGCATATACAAAATTTCAAGGTTAGTATAAAACATTTTTATCTTACCATCAGTAGTAACGCGTCGTTTTCGAACGAGGTCGACTTTGTTGGCTACAAGAATGCAGACTCTGTCTGTCTCTAGATTATGTCGTAAGGTATGTAACTTGTGTTTGGCATAGTTAAACGAATGGATGTCTTGTACGGAATAAACAATAATGAAGGCATCACAGGCACTGCAAACTGAAATGTCCTAAAACGAGAACAATGATAAAATTATGAATAAATACGTTATACTGAGAAATTGAAGACAAATGGGTCTTTGGTGGACAAGTAAGGGATCACAGTCCAGTGAGATATGTTTCTTTAGCAACATGTAAAATATTGTATATAAAATCGATGAAAAACGGAAAAAAATATATCAGTTGTATATTTCATACAGATGAACGATGAACAAAAAAACAATAAACATGGTAAGAACGGCTTACCAAATTATATAAGACGATAAATAAATGTATATTCTATGCATTTATTCTAATAAAAAGTACTTCGACTCATATTATTTTTATGACCAAAAGACGGTCCAATCATATCAAAATAGATCATCATGTTTACTTTTACAAAACCAAGATCGAACGATATTGTATTCACTTTGATTATATTTGTCATTTTCTGTCATATCTTATAATTTTTTTAGTTAAATTATTATCATTTTTTATATTAAATCCTACAAACTTTTCTTTTCTAAATACTACAGAAGCTATGTATACAGATCTCTTCTTGACTCGAAATAATCCGTAACCATCAAGATGAATTTTCATAAATGACACTCTGAGCCACAGTATAAGAGTGTATTGTGGTAAAATATGTACTAACAAAAATATATCTAAAAACAACAACCAAGACAAACTAAAGACATTTTCCATCAAGTTTCAACCTTAGTTTTTGTAAATTGTAAAATTCATCTGTGTACGAAATACATTTTTTTCAATACCGAAATATTAAAATTGGATATACAATTACGCAATAAAGCTCCATTACTCCGATTTCTTTTAAACAGAGTTTTACTGAGCGTATTGTTGTGTGTTTGTTTATTCCACATTGGCAAGAGGTATAGGGAGGATTGAGATCTCACAAAACATGTTTAACCCCGCAGCATTTTTGTGCCTGTCCAAAGTCAGGAACCTCTAGCCTTTGTTAGTCTTATGTTTTTTTAAAGTTTGATTCATTTATATGTTTTGGAGCTTAGTGTGGCGTCCATTTCGCTGAATTAGTATACACTATTGTTTATGGGCCAGCTGAAGCACGCCTCCGGGTGCGGGATTTTCTCGCTGTGTTAAAGACCCATTGGTGGCCTTAGGTTCTTTTCTGCTCTTTGGTCGGATTGTTGTCTCTTTGACACACTCCTCGTTTACATTCTCAATCCTAGTAGACGATCCAAGCGATAGTAAGTAAAAATACAACGAATTAATTTTTGTTCTTGCTTTCAATGCTTATTTTTGAATTAATGTTAACAGTGTGAGACAGACTTGAGGAAGAAAAGAGGAGGAAATACACTAAAAGCTTTAAAACTTAAACGATATAAAGAGACAAACCAAAATATATATTGTTTCCTATTCTAAACCACCAATGACAACTTCGGAAGCTAATAATTGATTGTATCGTCTCAGAGATAGTTAAACATATATATTTATAGTGAAATTGAGCGTTACGCTAAAGTGTACAGTTGTCTTTTGATAATTTAACTCCTTGAAAACAAAAAGCGACGCTTGTGACGTAACTGTGAGCACCTAAAACAACCTATTGTATTTTTTTCTGGTTTAAATTAATATGTTGTTTTGGTGGGGTTCATGTTGCTCAGTCTTTGTTTTTCTATGTTGTGTTTTGTATATTGCTGTTTGTCTTTAGTCTTTTTTTTTCATTTTTTGCAATGGCTTTGTCAGTTTTTTTCGACTTATGAGTTTGAATGTCCCTTTGGTATCTTTCGCCTCTCTTGTCAAGGTTTTTTTGCCAGACGTACATACTTCGTTGTTTCAACATACACACAATGTCATCCTTTCAAAAGTCATCTCAAGTGTTTCACATATTCTAAACTGCAGTAGAATAATAAATGTTGTTAGTATATAAAAAATAAGGAGATGTGGAATGATTGCCAATGAGACAACTCTCCACCAGAGACCAAATGACGTAGAAGTTAACAACTATAGGTCACCGAATGGCCTTCAACAATGAGCAAAACATATACCGCATAGTCAGCAATGAAAGGCCCCGAAATCACAAATATAAAACAATTAAATCGAGAAATCTAAAGCCTGATGTTTGTACAAAACAATGAACCAAAAAACAAATATGATATACAGCAACAAACGACAAACACAGAATTACAGGCTCCTGACTTGAGACAGGCACATACAGAATGTGGCGGTGTTAAACTTTTTTGCTGGCGCGCCAAACCTTAGTACGCATGCTCTAAAAATGGTACTTACTACTCTTTCTTCTGTATCTACGAATTCAATGGTTGTTTCTTCTTTATCTATGATAACTGTGATATGGTTTGGTTCATCAATATGGCCTAAAATTTACAAAGTATGAACGTGACTAAATTGCTAAATGAATTGGTCATTACACAGATGAGAAACACAAAGCAATTATAGGCATAATAATAAAATTTCATTATAATTTTCTGAGTAATTAAATCGTAGATGAATGATGAAGGAGAGAAACCCAATGTTTAATATGTAGCCACTGTTATGCTTCGTCGATTTTTCGTAAAACATTTAAAACTTTTAATTTCCATTATTTAGAAACAATTTGTCCCAAACCCTTAGAGTTATATTTGTTTTCTTCACAACTAACGATATAATTAGAATCTTAACTAAGAAGTTCTTATTATCCATTTTCTTTTGCCTGAGTTCAAAAAGAAATAGCGAAATGTTAACATAGTACCAATACGATTACTTATGTCTATATCAAAGACATGATTATTTATAACAAAGTACAAGTAAACATGTGTGTTAATGTCAAATGAACGAGTGTATAGTGCCATGACTGACACAAGTCATTAATTTACATTTACGATGACAAAACGATTTTTCAGATGTGTAAGTTGATTTTTTACATATGATCAGAAAAGGAATCCGAAAAATGTTTATAAAAGTGAAAAATAAATCTGTTCGGCAAAAATAATACATCTGCAACTTATAGGATGTCACTGAAGACAAATAAGAACATATGGTATGAGTGCAAACTCTCCATCCAAGTCACCAAGTCACAATGTATAAAAAGTTAACAATTATAGGTCATAGTACGGCCTTCAACACGGAGCCTTAGCTCACACCGCTTATATTTTAGGTGTGTCCCTGTTCATTTTTCGGAGACATAATATTATGACCTCAAAATATTTAATAAAATTCATTTGTTTAACTCTGATGTTGATAACCCTGTAACGACGGGTAGACCAGAAAAATATATTTTATATTAACTATCTAGTTATCCCCGATTTATTTGTACATTGTGTTTTTTATCCGATACATATATTCATTTTTGGGTTACAAGAGTGCAATAATTTGCAATGCATTTTCCATAGGACCCCAGTGGTGTTTAATAATTTATTTCTTGAAGAATAAATTAGAAAAAAACAACAGTTCCTGTGACTATAGATGTCAGCATTTTATCACAGCAAACAAAAAAGTATATGGTCATACGGGAAAAGTTGCCCTTAAATGCAGTTGTTATGGAAGTTTTCAAATTCTGCACTAAATTTGAAAGGATAATTTTGAATGGCTTCTTAGCTAATAAAAACATGTAGAAATATAAAACAAAAATCATCTACATTTTGTAAAACATGAATTTATTTTTCCCGTATTTTCAAACTAAATGGATAAGCTTTCAAATAAAAAAAGATTCCAAGCCTGCATCATCCAATCAGGAGACACAACGTCTTTTTTTCTGAGTACCGGGGTGAAAAACCTGCCGGTTGACATGGTTGAATGTAAACAAATAATTGCGCTCTTGTAACCTTGATAGGTCATTGATGCTGTCTGCCAGTATCTTCTTAGTTATGCTTTATTACCTGACAGACTGACAGAAAGAATGTTTAGTTGGGTGTGCGTTCTTGATTCAGACAATAAATGTGATAAATCTGATTAATTAATTAAGAAAGTAACCTGCAAAGAAATTAATAGCTATTGTTTTGCTGCATGTATCAGCTTTAGACATGATAGATACGCGTAAGGTTCTAAACAGGTGATTTAGAATATTATTTATACAAACTAATATTCACACATTTTTACTGTACTAATGGGGTAAATTAACGTAAATTGAAGATTGCTACTCACTCAGGCAAATATTTTTAATGTTTGGCTTATCAACATTTTTTTAAGCTGTTATACATGTTCGATATTTGGCATCCTTAATTTACATACTTGGTGAATGACAGTGTAAACGCCTTCATTTCTCTTCTTGATTTCAGGGGGATACATATTATACGGAAAGGCAAAAAAATAAATGCTATATTTCCTAGCTACTAGTAAATATCTATACAAGGGGTTAGGAAGTAAGCATTTGTCACAGTAAAGAAACGAATAGAAAGGAAATAATTCCTGTCTTTTAGTACGCCCACAGTGTTACCAAACGGTAGCATTGAAGCCTTGTAAAAGATGAGAGATGCTTGATTATGAAATTGGTATTTTCGTCAAAACTATTTTTAACACTCATCATACACATTATATTTGTTACAGAAATATGTTAAACGTTGGTGATAAAAAGAATGGACTCATTTGCATGGAATTTCTACAGAGGCATTATAATTGTAAAGAAACAATAAATGTGACATATAATTTACGTATCACTAATTTTCATGATTTATCGCACAAGCATTTTCCTGCAAGACACATGTAGACATAAAATCTAATAATAAAATCTCTTTGTATACACTGCACTTACAATATCTTGACATACATGCACAATAAATTTGATAATGTCTGGTAAGTATCAAACTCAATATCCAATACAGCGAACCAACAACTCAATGTCATCAATAGAGGCAATAAGGGGTAAAAGTAAGGGTTTCAACTACCGACATGCTATGGATACGTGTATTGGGAAGCGTTAATATCTTTGACATTATTTATTTTAAGAAATACATTATTTATTATATTCCAAATATTTTATTTATTATATCCCTTGCATGTCATTTTAGTATCTCAAATTGATTGATTGTTTGTGTGTAACACCACTTTCAGTCCTCTTGGCTATTTCATGACCGCCATTTTTATTACTAGGGTAAGCCGGAGTACCGGCGGAAACTACCGATCTTCGGCAGGAAAACTGGTAATTCTAGTCAATCGACCGGAGTCGAACTCACCTTGCCACGATCAAGGTCCCTACTACATCAAAATTATTTTTGTGTAAGTCGAAAAATAATGAGACTTAAAACTAAACTACTTGAATATGATTCAAAACTTTCTGAATAAATCTGATACTCTATAATTAGGTTATTACTATGCTTTTTGTAAGTACTGTCAAACCGCATTGAAATTCTGAAATCCATCTACAAGGACGACTCAGTCTGAGGAAGTCGTACATTTATCTGGTTACATTACATAACTATAAACAGAATATTCAATTACCATCAATAATTATGTATGTGAAGTTAGCAGCCGGTTCGTTATTCGATATTCGATATTCAATATCCAACCGGCTGCTAGCAGTCGGTTGGATATTCAAAATTTAGTTGAAAATCATGAAAAAATTAAATACTTGAAAACATTAAAAGCACGATTTTCATAGTTAAGAGGACTGATAAGATACGTAGGAAATCGTTTAATGACCTCTTCAAGCTGTCGTAAATTCTCGAATGTAAACCCTTTACTAAGTTGCATATTTGCCTTTATGTAATATAGATTTTTATCAATAAAACAACTTCAAATATGTACTTTTATATATGATATTTCTTAACACAAAAGGAAAAACCTATAACTCTAGAAACATTTAGAAATATAAATAGAAATATTTATGGAAAGCCAAAATAATATATAGTGAAAACCTACCTGAGACCGCTTAAATGAGGGTGAGACCCCCCTGGTCTTTCGATGTCCATAAAATTCAACTTAATCATAGACTCTGTATATGTAAAGGTTGTATTAGAAGGATTTTCCAGAATAATGTGATCTTCGATATCTACGGAGGGCTTAGATTGTCACTTTTCAGCTAAAAATTGTCAAAATGTTAGGACAAAGGGCACAGGGCAATGGTGAGAGCCCCCTGATCTCTCAATCTTTCTAATATTATGCAGACATCTAGTTAATAGGTAGATACAAACGTGACTAAAAGGAATTTGGGTACACTTCCTGTCTTCTATGTTTACGGAGCGCCCAAAGTGCCAGTTGGATATTCAAAATATATAGTGAAAACCTACCTGAGACCGCTTAAATGAGGGTGAGACCCCCCTGGTCTTTCAATGTCCATAAAATTCAACTTAATCATAGACTCTGTATATGTAAAGGTTGTGTTAGAAGGATTTCCCACAATAATGTCATCTTCGATATCAACGGAGGGTTTAGATTGTCACTTTTCAGCTAAAAATTGTCAAAATGTTAGGACAAAGGGCACAGGGCAATGGTGAGAGCCCCCCTGATCTCTCAATCTTTCTAATATATATTTTGAATATCCATCTGGCACTTTGGGCGCTCCGTAAACACAGAAGACAGGAAGTTTACCCAAATTCCTTTTAGTCACGTTTGTATCTACCTATTAACTAACTGTCTGCTGAATATTAGGCAGATTGAGAGATCAGGGGGCTCTCACCATTGCCTTGTGCCCTGTGTACTAAATTTTTGACAATTTTTAGCTGAAAAGTGACAATCTAAGCCCTCCGTAGATATCGAAGATGACATTATTCTGGACAATCCTTTTGATACAATCTTTATTTATACAGAGTCTATGAGTTTTATGGACATTGAAAGGGTCTCACCGTCATTTAAGCGGTCTCAGGTAGGTTTTCACTATGTATTTCTTTTTTTGGGGCTTTCCATATATATTTCTATTTATATTTCTAAATTTTTCTAGAGTGATCGGTTTTTGTTTTTGTTTTAAGAAATATTAGATATAAAGTTAAAATATTCAGTTTTGATGTCGTTTTATTGATAAAAATCTATATTACATAAAGACAAATATGCAAATTACATAAGCATTGATAAGGGTTTATATTTGAGGACAACGAGAGTTTAAGACAACTTGAAGGGGTCATAAAAGGATTTCCTACGTATCTTTTCACTCCTTACAACTATAAAAATCATGCTTTTAATGTTATCAAATATTATATTTTTTATGATTTTCAACTAAATTTGAATATCGAACCGACTGCTAGCAGCCGGTTGGATATTGAATATCGAATATCGAATAACGAACCGGCTGCTAACTTCACATCCATTCAATTGTGTGTGTGTTGTTTTGTATGGCGGTGTCAACCATATATGTGTAGCCCTGTTCACCTTCTATTCGTTGTTTTGTATGGCTGTGTCAACCATATATGTGTAGCCCTGTTCACCTTCTATTCGTTGTTTTGTATGG